TATCTGTTTCATTCTTTCTCCATACCATAATAATGTATTGTGCTGGGCTTTAAATACTGTTGTTTTTTTCACACCGCAAGCCACCTCAGGCCCTGGTCAGGAGAAAGGTGCCTGTTTTAATCAGTGGCAAGGGATGATGGGCCTCGTAGTTCATCAGCATTCGGGGGTGATACAACAACCATCCCTCTTCTAGACTCTACTCCGCCTTCCAGTGCCTTGCAACCTTCTCAAAACCGCTATTGCTCTGTGTAGATCATGGCTAAAAAGAGCGAGGAGGGAATCTGCTGGAGCTTTTACCACCTTGCACACTGCCTGGGAAGGATTTCTCTCGGGGAACTGTCAATCTATCCAATACTAACCAATCATTCCTTCTGACCTCAGAATACAAGAGAAAGCCCCACCTCTCTGCTGAGTGTCCTATTTCTCTCTCTTTTGTCTGCTGAAGTCAGTTCTTTTGATTGTTAAGTTTGCTGTAGATCTATTCACAATTGTAAGTAATGAAACATTTTTATTCGTTCCGTTACTAATGTCTCAGAGAAAGTCATTGAGCCTGTAAATCAGTGATCCCCAACCTTGGGCCTCCAGATCTTCTTGGACTCCCGGAAGCCTTCACCACCCCCTCTGCTGGTCAGGATTTCTGGGAGCGGAAGTCCGAGAACATATGGAGGCCCAAGGTTGGGGACCACTGCTGTAAATGACAGTTAATGAGGAAGGGGTGGGCTAAATAAGGAACTTGAAGCTAGTCTCCTCCATGAGTCTCTACACTTCTGTTGTGAATCAAAAGGAGAATTTTAGCCAGGAATGAAAAACTGTGCAACAAAATCAACCCTGGGATTAGAGAAGACATAGAAGACAACATCTCTGCCTCCCCCCAAATACGGACCAGGAGAAGTGGGTGAAACTTTCAGGTCTTCCCTGACACTTAAACTCTTCTGATGCCTCTAGAAGCTCATTGTGTCTGGTTGTGTGGTCTGTGCCACAGGGTTGAGCAGAACCCCAACTTTCTCCAGATGGTCACAAACTCCAGGAACATCCTCCTTCCCACAAGAACAGCTGGATCCACCCCTTAGCCATCACCGTCCTCTCTGGTGCTGGCATGCTCCTTCCTTGGAGAGCCTCCAGAGAGACCACTTGGTTTTTTCCCCCAAGTAGCCTTGCTTCATGTTACTAGCCCCTTCTGGCTTCTGCCGGGACGAAGCCCAAACTCACTCTTACCTGGGCTTGCTCCGCCTGACTCAGGAGGAAGCCCTCGGCCAGGGCCACCGCCTGGGCGCTGGTCTCTGGCCCACATTCCCTCACCCAGTTCTCCATCTTGGGCGGCAAGACTTTCAGGAACTGCTCGAGGACCACCAGATCCAGGATCTGCTTCTTTGTGTGCCGGTCCGGTTTCAGCCACCGCCGACAGAGGTCGTGGATCCGGCCGCAAACCTCCTGCGGCCCTTCGGCCTTCTGGTAGCAGAATTCCCGGAAGTTGTTAAAGTTGCTGCAGTTGCTCTCGGCCCACTGAGACCCGTTCCCCTGCAGGAGCTTCTCCATCGTCTGGCCCCAGAAGTCTCCACCGCCCTGCATCTCCGAAGCCCCCGAGCTTCTTCCCGGTTCGGGTCCAGCCAATTCTAGCCCGACGGTTTCCATTCAGGACGGGACCACGGAGCCTTTAATTCTGCGGCCAAGATGCCTCTCTGGAGGTTGGGAAGGCTCAGCAAGGCACGACTCTCGCCTCCTGCCCCCAAAAAAGAGAAGAAAAGAAAACACACACAGCAACAACTTTGCTATGATGCAAGGAAGCATGTTGTCCTTGAAGCGAGGAGATAATCCAGAAGCCGGGCATTCTTGGCCAGCAACCCAGGTTGTTATCTTCCCTAGGAAAGGCAGGAAAAAGCCAAACAGGAACGCCTTCATATTGCTCCCAAAGACTGTAAGACAAGGGTGTGTAGTTGGGCCAGGCCCACGAGCCCACTCCAGTCCAGCATTCTGCTCTCATAAGGGGCAGCCTGGAGTCCTGAGATAAAGCTTGGTGGGCAGGACTGAAATGTACACCCTCCACCTCATGTTCCCCAGCAAATAATAAATAAGGAAAATTGTGCTGCTGGAACTGGAGGTGAGACAGCTGAATAGCTGCTCTCCTGACCAGGATTGATTGATCTATCGATTTCTTCCTTCCTTCCTTTCCTTCTTTCATTTCTTCCTATCTCTCTCTATCTGCTTGCCTGCCTGCCTGCTTCCTTGGTTACTAAACTTTACTTACTTATTTGTTTGTTTATTAAACTTATACACCAGCCAAGTACACGGACCCAAAATTAAACACAGATACGGAGACAAATTAAAAACAATCATCATCAGAAGAAGAAAGACAACCCAACAGAATCCTGTTATCTTGCACAGTGTGCTGTCTTCTGAAGATGCCCATGGCCACAGAGACTGGCGAAATGTCAGGAATAACAACATTCAGAACACAGCCAGAGAGCCCGAAAAACCCACAACAACCATCAGATCCCGGCCATGAAAAGCCTTTGCGAAGACCCAAAGACGGCTTACATCACAAAAGCCCAGTTTTAAAGCTTGAGCAGTACTAATGCATCAAAAGAGGTCCATGGTTTTAAATTTCTGAAAGCAACAAGACTTCAGTGTTAATAAGCTGCAAATATAGAGCTAACAATATCCACCGGTGTAGAAGAACCACAATCTCTTTTTAAGTTTTCAGACCAATGCAAAAAATAATAATCAAAGTTTGCTTTAAGAAAGGACAGAAGATTAACTGTGTTGATTTTTAGTGCCCTTTTGGTTTTGATGACAGTATTCGGATTATGGCTTTTGGACAGTTTCAAGGCAGAAGGAATAAAGGTGTAAACGCAAACACACACAGAGTTGTGAAAGGTGCAGGATCCAAACTATTCACAGGGATGTTCCTGAGCAGCGGTCCCCAACCTTTTGAGGGCCATGGACCGGCTGGGGGGAGCGAGCTCCATGCACGGGGGGGCACCCCTGTGCTCACACGGTGGGCATGTCATGCTAGTGTGGGAGGCATGTCACACTTGCTTAGGAGGTGTGTCGTGCTCACAGGGGGTGTGTTGCACGTGCGCACAAGAGCAACATGCCCACCCCAGGCGTGACTCCCCGCGTGCATGACACACCCACCACAGGTGTGACAGGCCCCTCGCACGAGCATGACACACACCCGCATGCGTGTGGGGGTGAAGATCCGTATGCACGGCCCAGTTCTGGCAACCCCTGTTCTTGAGGATAAAATAGGGTACAGGGAGAGGAGATATGGCAATACCATCCCATAAATACTTACCTAGAAATTCTAATTAGGGTCCCAATAAATCAGTTCTGACTGGACAGCCCAAAATGCACCCGACATGATGTGGGAGGATAGGCTCAGAAAGATATTATGGGAACAGATTAAAGGAGGCTATTTCTCATGCAATAAGAGCATCATCATCACTAGTTTTTTTTAATACAACAAAAGAGGGAAAGCAAGATTCACTTAGACTTACTTGTTTCATCAGACAATGCTCTGGAAAAAGGAATGTTTCAGCTCATAAATGTAATTTTAAAAATACTGAGTGATGGATTGCTTGCTTGCTTGAAAATGTTTATACTCTTATCTTCCACCTTGAGAAGACTCAAGCTGGTTTACGATATTGAAGCAAACAAACCAACCCCACATGCCAGCCACAGAGGCTCCCTAGGAAGAAAAACCTCCAGAACACGGCCAAACAGCCCGAAAAACCTACAACCACCAAACCCCACATTATTATAGATTTTTTTTAAAACAAATATGTATGCAGCTCTCATGTTAAAACGACCATGAAAAGATGACACATCATGGCGGTCCTTCTACTACTGCACGAATCCTCAGCTGCAAAAGAATCCTCTGAAGCGCTAGAAAAGAAGGGCCTGTGAGGAGAAAGTTCTCGGTTTGGTGGATCTCGAAAAGGTTAACAAACAGGGTGGACTTGGGGGTTCCCACAGGTCTCTTCAGCAGGGAAAGAGGGTGACAAAACCTGAGGGAGCAGGGAAAGGAAAATCACCAGGAAAAAAAGTGCAGAGCAGGAGGAAGAGAGGACGCCTGAACAGGAGACAGCCTGACTCAATGAAGGAAGCCACAACCTTGAGTTTGCAAGACCTAAACATCCGGACCTTTCAGAGGGTGCCGGTCTGCAGGGTCGCCACAATAACAATGAAACAATAGGTTTGTACGTACAGGATGCGACCGGTGGTTTCTTTCAACGCTCAAGGGGTCCCACTAAGCCGTTGACAGGATGACCCGGGACTGGTGTACCAAGGGGTTTCAGGGAGCCATTTTCCGTCCGTTCCACCCGGCCCTTCCCGAGCCTGCCAAGGGAGACGGCAGAGAGGCCAGGGGGATGATGGTTTTTGAGGGTTGGGGCACATGGGCCTTTGGAGGAAAATACGGACGCACCAGGCCAGCACTTGAAGAGTGGAGGCTCACCACAGAGAAGTGGCCGGGCACTGGATGGGTTGGAAATTAATTGCTTAAGTAAACAAGCAAGCAAGCAAGGAAACAAACAAACAAACAAATGAATAAATAAATAAATAGCCTCAGTGGCTCAGGGAACATACAGCAGACCCTTGACTTACAGACGGCTCAACTTACAGACTTTTCGAGTTACAGACTTCTCTGGTTGCAAAATTTAGGTTCGACGTGCAGCTGGAGAATTGACCTACAGACCAGAAAAAAACACAAAATGGAACAAAAATGGAATAAAAACGGCCAGTTACGGGATTAATCGGTTTTCAATGCATTGTAGGTCAGTGGAGACTCGACCTACAGACTTTTCGACTTGCAGACACCATTTCAATGCGGATTAATTCCGTGAGTAGAGGGTCCACTGTATGGAAAGGTGGGGGGGGAAGGCTCAGAAAGGAGGAATTGAGGCTGAAAAAGAAAAAAGCAGCAAGGGAGAACAGAACAGGGTGGAATGAAGTGTACAGGAAAAAGGTGGTCTGTTTTTCTCTGCCCTTTCTACCTTTCACCGTTGTTCTGAGAAAAGATCAGGGGTTTAAAATTCGACTTGCAGACACCATTTCAATGCGGATTAAAATTACTTTTTGAAGGGGCTGCAGATCTCAAAAAAGTTACTTTTAAAGGGGCTGCAGATCTAAACAAAAAGTTACCCAGCGCCTGAGATTTGGAGCGTTCTGTGTCCCCTAAAGTGACTTTTCGAACTTCTCAAACTTCCCACATTCCCACAAACTCTGCTCAGGAGCTTGGCCCTTCCCGTCCAGGAAACCGGTGGCGATTGGAAACTTACTCCACACACCCCCAGTACCTTTTAAAGAAATGTTCTGGTATAAGATCCAGAGGAAAAAGGGCCATTTTTTTGAACCCTCGGATCTTCTCCA